GGCTTTGAATTTAAAAGCACGCCTACCACTCTCTTTGAAAATATTTGGCACAGTGAAAGAGAGATATTCAGCGTGTCTCAGTCTATAGTTGGATCTAAATGGACGTAAATATTCCTTCAGATAAGAAGGATAATTATAATACACACATTTAAAGATAACCTGATACCAGTGATACTGTCTTCTGGCTTTTGGTGATAATAAGTTCAGTGAATCATACATTACACAGTGGTGAGTGGTAAAAGGACATCTCAGCACAAATCTACATATGTTATTAAAAACAACATTCAATGCCTTCAAGTTTGATTCTGTTGTGTTTTGATAGACAACGTCTGCATAATCTAATATGGGAAATATTACCTGTGACACAATTCTTAGTCTAATCATTTGAGTGAAACAATTAATAGAGCGATACAGTATTCGTAAATTCCAATGAATCTTTTTTACAACAGAATTTATATGACACCTAAAGGAGAATTGTGAGTCAAGCCAGAGGCCCAGATATTTGAGTTCCTCAACTTGTAAAAGTGGAGTATCGTCTAAAAATTTGAGTGAAAGATTATTATGTTGATTCATTGAAGCTGATCTGGTAGGAAACAGTATACTATATGACTTTTTCTTATTCAATAGAAGATGGTTTGATTGGAACCAAAGTTGAATGGCATTAAAATTAGATTGCAATGAGGATTGAATCTTAGAGACAGACATATAAGATGTATAAATCACTGTATCATCTGCATATAGATGGATACAACAGTCTGAGCAAATTAAAGGAAGATCATTGATAAATAAAGAAAATAGAAGAGGGCCTAAAGAAGAGCCTTGAGGGACACCTTTGTCCATTATTAAAGAGCATATTGCAGGTTAAAAAAAAATCGAAATTTATAGATAACCTTGTATGAAAATACCATATGAAAAGTTAATGCAGGATTTAAAATGTTTTAATACAACATAAGGACACTAATTTAGAAGATAAAGTGAGCGTTTCTTGGACTGCTAGTAAAAACCGCTTTTTTTTCAACATCGCGTCATTTGACGTCATATCAGGGAGCCGCAGCCTCGGCTCAGTGCAGAGTAGGCTGGTGTTCAGTGAGAGCGCTCGTCAGTCAGTGTGCTTTCGTTAGTTTTTGCATTTTAATTTATCATCGTCATGGTAAATTATTGTGTTTGTGGAGATTGCAAAAACTCCATCCTGTCAGGACTTCAAGATCGAGTCCACAAGTTTCCATTACAATAAAAGTGACGGTGCTATATAGCCTATCTTTCGTTCCTGGTGCGCTTTGAGCAGGTGAAGAGACGGGATTTCTCTTCTGCATCGGCTCGGAAAACGCGGTCGTGTGTAGCGTTCACTTCAGATCAAATGATTAGCATCCCGGCAATATGATGGAGTTCAACATGGTATGCCGAAGCAAGAATATTGATCGTCGTATACTACCAATGGCATCAAATAGTGTTATATAGGTAACTTAGTCATGTCATGCCCTAAATAGAACTTGTAATTAAAAAACTTTTATGTTATAAAAACGTTTATGTTATAACCTAGGTGAAAAATATGTATTCAAAATTTACCTGAGTATAGCCTATGCTTTTAGTATAGAAATATAGGCTACTCAAGTAAAGTTTTTATACATTTAATAGTATATAAATCTACCCTAACATACTAATGTCTGCTGGCCTGTTATAAGATCATAATAATCTGTACAATATTGTGAGCACAGTGTATATCGTTAGCGAACGTGTATACTATAAGCACGTCTCTCACCTAAAAGGCACCTGTCCTGTTCTCCACTGGTTCTCCTCACACCACAGCTCAATTTTTCTCTGACCATTCTGTCTGACATTATCATGGCCTGTCCCTGATCTCTTTAGCATAGCAGGCTCATAACTTTATGGCTTGATCCGTCATACGAGTATTTCCTCAGCGTCCGAAATGTCATGCGATTCATTGTTTTCCTGTTGTGTGAATCGACGGCTCTCCCGCTCATTGCGTCACGCCCGCCACGCCCATTTTCAGACGCGGAAGTAAAATTTTCTCACAAAAACGATTGCAGAAGCTTCTGTAGCGTGTTTATGCGTATATTTTAAAGAAAATCTAATTCCTACATTGTTTTTCTATGCATTGACTCGTTGGGTCCTCTAACCTGCAATATGCCCTTTAAGGACTGTGATACACAACCATGAAAAGAGACACGCTGATATCTACCATGAAGGTAAGAGTTAAACCAGAGAAGAGAATCTTTAGTAAGACCTATCGCATATAGTTTATCAAGAAGCAAATAATGATCGACCATATCAAAGGCCTTAGTGAGATCTATAAATATTGCACCAGTTGATTTGTTATTGTCTAAGGAAGATGACACATCATTGGTAAATTTTAGAAGAGCAGTGGTTGTAGAAAAGTTTGGTCTGAAACCAGATTGATTTGGAGACAGAAATAGGTGGAAATAGGTCTATAGTTGTTAATATCAAGTGGATCACCACCCTTATGTATTAGTGTAATTCTGGCAGACTTCCACATAGATGGGACCACACAGGTAGATAATGATAAATTAAATAAATCTGTTAAGGGGACCGCCAGTACATGAGATGCAAGCTTAATAAATTTAATCTCCAGGCCGTCGGGATCTGTACCATTACCTGACTTTAGTTCGGAAATTACGTGCTGAACTTCAGTAGGATTTATTGTAGCAAATGAAAATGAACTATTGAGCTCATCTGCTGAACTAGAGTTAGAGAAATTAGAAAATTGCGAACTACAAATAGAAGAAAAGTGTAGGTTGAAGGCATTGGCAACCGCAGAAGGGTCACTAATAACATCATTATTGACTTTAATTTTAGTAGCAATGTTTTTTGTACAATTATTTAATAATTGCTTTAATTAATTAATTATAATAATTATAATAATTAATTAATTAATTAATTAATGCTTTCCCAAAACTTCTTAGGCTTATGGAAATTATTTGACAAAAAGTTTGTATAATAATTTGATTTGGCATTTCTTGTTTTAGTCGTACACTTATTTCTTAATTGTTTATATACAGCCCCTTCTGAAGGATCCTTTGACTGGCGGTACTTTTCCCATGCCTTATCTCTTTGTTTAAAAAGATAAATTAAATCAGCATTAATCCAAGGTAAGTGTCGCCCCTTAACCTTAACTGATATCCAAGGGGCATGTTTATCAATTACCTTAAGCACTTCAGTATAAAAAAAAATTCCAGACATCTTCAACAAAAGGAATAAGATTAAACCGGTTCCAGTTTATATCTAGTAGATCTTGGATAAAAAGCTCAGTGTTAAAGTATTTACTCTGCCTTACCCTGATCACCTTGGGTGGTAAGCGAGGTAATGTAATTTTCCATACCCAGAAAACCATGGAATGATCGCTAAAGCAATCGGGTAAAACACCAGATTCAAGAATTCTGTTGAAGTGGGTGACCAAAATCCAATCCAACAGAGATTTGGATCTGTGGTCAACCCGAGTAGGTTCTTTAATTAGTTGAGTCAGATTTTCCTTGGGAGCTATAAGCTCAGATGATAAATTTGAGGAGACATAAGTGGCTACCCCTCCTCCACGAGTAGCCCTATCAGATCTATACAAGACATAACCATCCAGTTTAATTTCCTCATCCGATATATTTTTATTCAACCAGGTCTCAGACAATGTTATAACACTTGGTTTATTATAGACCAACCAGGCCCTTAAGAGATCGATTTTGTGTAGCAAGCTCCTGATATTCAGATGAATAACAAATAAACCTTTACCCATGTTGACTAGTCAACAACATAGGAAATAGAGTTGAAGGGTAGGGGGCTGGAGGGAGAGAGCGAAGGTGAAATAGAGCAGCATACACGCACACACTCACACACAAACGTGCGCGCGCAGGCACACACGCGAGCACACAAACTCACAAACTGGCTAAGCCGAAACATAACAAAATACAGATTTATAGTCTGCTAAGTTTCTTAATAGAATAACATGAAGTGAAAACATATATAGATAGATATATTTAGGCTTATATACATACGTAGCCTACATAACATACATGCATGTATACACACATATAAAACAAAAAAACGGCCAAAATTAGGCTAATCGGCCCAAGAGACGGGTCACTTCAATAAATGTATTGCCTTTCATGCCACAATATAACATCGGCATCAACATGCACTCAATTAGATATACCTCAAAATCATTGGGACGAATGAAATCAGTCTTTCTGAGAGTGAGCCTCGAGATCCTGAAGGAAAGACTCTGCTTCTTCAGGGCTACTTTGCCCGCTGCGATAATCCTCAGTACGGCAGGATACAGAAGAGAATATTCAAACTTCAGCTTGCGGAGCTTTTTCTTGATTTCATCAAACTGCCGACGTTTATGAACAATGCCAGCGCTGAAATCAGGAAAAATGTAGACGCGGTTGCCTTTATACTTTAGTTCCTTCTTCTCACGTGACAAATGTAGAATTAGTTGTTTATCCTGGAGGCTTAGGCTACGTTCACACTGCAGGGCTTAATGCTCAATTCCGATTTTTTTTAAAAATTAGATTTTTTTGCAAGGCCGTTCACATTTCCAATTAAATGCGACCTTTTGTGATCTCCTGTGTGAACGTGAAATGACCCAGAAGTGACCCGCATGCGCAGAAGAGTACTCAACGGTCAACGACGTCACTTGTTGTTTGCGGAACTAGCTATGGATGTCAACAGTGGAGCTCGTTTAGCAATTTTAAAGTTATTTTCGCAACAGAGCCAGCACATGTACAATCTTCTAATTTTAAGAAGAAAATTTAAAAGGAGGAGAGCAAGGCTTTTGGCCATGGCTTATTGTGGAGCTGTGGTTGCAACGTCGGTGCAGAGAAACGTGTGGGTGCGGAGTCGCAGCCAGGAGTGGTGGGATACTGATGTGAGGGGCTTCACAGATACAGAGTTCATCAGTCACTTTCGAATGACCAGATCCACCTTTGATTATGTTTGTGAGCCCCCTCGATTAACTCTGTCACGGGAAGAGACACATCTGCGGCGGCCCATAACAGTGGAGAAACGCGTTGGAGTTGGAGTTTATTGGCTAGCTACAGGTGCGTGCTATCGTACGATAGCTAGCTTGTTCGGCATAGCCAAGTCTACGGTCTGCTCTATTGTACACGAGTTCTGCAAAGCAGTTCGCCGTGTACTCATGCCCCATTACATAAAACTGCCCAAAGGTGATGACCTGAAAGAGGTCTGTGAAGGCTTCCGCCAGAGATGGGGTTTCCCGCAGTGTGGAGGAGCTATTGATGGGAGTCATATCCCCATCATTGCTCCAGAGGATAACCACGCAGAGTATTTTAACCGCAAAGGGTGGCACTCGGTTCTGCTCCAGGGTGTCATGGATCATCGGTTTTGGTAAGACATATAGATATTGTTCTTATACTATTTTAAAAGTACTGTACTTGCAGAGATGTATAGTAACGAAGTAAAACTACTTAATTACTGTACTTAAGTACTAAAATGCTCTATCTGTACTGTACGAGAGTATTTTTTTCTCATACTTCAACTTTTACTTCAGTAGATATATTTGATGAATTTAATACTTTTACTTAGTTATTTTTTCAATGTTCTGCTAGTTACTCGTTACAATTATAATTTTTTTTTTACGAATCATTCGTTGTCTCTGTGTACTTGCCTCACTTTCTTTTGGTACAACCATACATCTGCAAGAATATTATCCTTGAAAATACATACATTTTACCATGGCATATTCAGTAATTTAACACTGTCTTCCAACAGTTTCACCAACATCTATGCTGGATGGCCAGGGAGTGTTCATGATGCGAGGGTACTCCGGAATTTCCATGTGTACTCACTCGCAGAGAAAGGGGAGCTTTTTCCACCAGTGAGTAATAGTGATTTACCATGTATACAATCTGTCTTTAATTATTTTGATTTTTTTTTTTGTGTGCTTTTAAATCTTAAGGACACTGAAGAGATAATGGGCGTTCAAGTGCCAATCATGCTGCTCGGCGACCCGGCTTATCCCCTTCGAATCTGGCTGTTAAAAGGATACTGTGACAAAGGAACCCTGACAGTTGAGCAGAAGTACTTCAATGAGCGCCACAGCAGAGCCAGGATGACTTCGTTCGACTGAAGGGCCGGTGGAGGTGCCTTGCTAAACGGCTGGATGTGGACGTTTCCCTCGTCCCCACCATAATCAGTGCATGTTGCACACTCCACAATGTGTGTGAAATGCACGGGGAGATTTATGAAGAGGCTGGTGAAACTGTTCCTCGTGTTGAGAGATTGGCTGAAGGAGGGGGATTTGTAGATGTGCAGCCAGCAAAAGTCAGAGAAGCACTGACTCAGCTTTTTGTTAGCCAACGTTGAGCCACAAACTGGGCTGTCACAATAATTACTACATCGTTCAACTTTAGTACTTTTTGACCTCAATATTTATCTGTACATATTTGCTTTTTTTGACACAGTTTTCTAATGTAATACTATATTTTTAAACCCGCGTAGGTTGTGTAATATTTCAAGTGTTTAAGTACCTTTCAGTTTCACTGTCATTTTTTGGTTTTAGAGTTTGTTTCTGTGTCATTACAAGATCTTCAATATCATTTATCGCAACATTTGAATGACTCAATATATTGAATTTTGTTATCTTGACAGGCCCAACCACAAATTAGTTATTTGTTTTGTGCTGCTTTGCTGAATTGTTACCATAGCTGCAATAATTAAATAAATAACATTTTCAATACTGTTATTGCTGTTTCCTTTTTATTAAAAGAAAATAGTGTGGCTATAATAGTGCAAATTTTGCCCACATTTTAACACAGCAAATGTAACAATTAAACTGACAGGAAAAGTTCACAGTGTATTGGCAAACAAATACAATACAACATATTCAATAGTGTCAAGTATTTGCCATCAACAAATCTAACAACAACAAAATAACAAAAATACTAGTAATAAAATAACTAGTGCATTATAAATAACCTTCACACTTCAACCTGAACATTGTGCAAAAATGCATCATTAACTGTCATTAATGTTTTAGAACCATTCATAACTTTGTAAAGAGGGTTTCATCTTCTTCAGACTGAAAAGGTGGCCGATGATCCTCGTTGTTGAAAGCCTGTTGACCCTGAGTATTTTCCGTTACCTGGAAGAATGACTGAGGGAGACTGGGATGTGGATGAGTATTACTGAAGGGCAGTGGTTGATTTAAATCTTGAAAAAAGGGCAGGGGCTGGGTGGGAGATGGAAAGGAAGCCACAGGAAACTGTGAGGAATGAAGAGTAGGAGGATGAATTGGGTTGTAAAGCTGAGCGGGATGAATTGGTGCATGGTAGAAAGGTGGCTGTGGAGGCTGGGTTGATCTCTCCATAAACTCAGATATCATGGCAAACATTTTACGATCATGCTCATCAGGGGTGCAACTACCCAGTTTCAGAGGGGTATGCAGCAACAGTTTAAGCGCCCCCCCACCCCCCATACAAAAAAAAAAAGGAAAAATAAATGTAATGTAAGTGTGCTGTGTAGTAAGTGAGTAGGAACAAATGAGAGCTAACAAAATAAGTGCAAAATTGTCGTTTATTAACACAATTAAACTATAGCTACTCCACCTTGATGAACCCCCCCCCCCCCCCCCCCACCCCCAAGAAAACTATAAGCTACAAGTGTTTCTCACAGGATTTTGGGTAAAACTGTGGTAGGTGGACCTCAGTTTCTCTAGGGGGGTTCAGGGGCATGCTCCCCCGTAAGAAAATTTTGTGTTCTGTAATGTTAAATTCAGCAGTCTGGTGCACTTTGAGAGTTCAAAATTAAAAGCTCCAACCCATTTTCAGGGTGCAAATTAAAAAGAGAAACTACTACATAATAATAGTTATAATATTAATCCCATGATAGTAATAGCCATAAAGGCAAAGGTAAAACAAATGCACTGAAAAATAAAGGAAACTTTCATAATTAGTTTTGCACTAATTTCTATAGGCTACTTGAAAGATACTTGCGCATAATGACATGTTTCATGGGCCAGTGTGTCAGAAAAAAAACTAAACCTGACTTTTTTTGACCAATGCATTACACCAGCAGCACTAACCCAGCGCCGCCAATTAAGCAAAAACAAAACAACAAACAAACAACAAACAAATAGGCCGCCGATGTATGAGTTTTGTGGGCTGTTAAGACAAATAAATAAAAAAAGGATGAAATGTATCGGCTGGAAAAGCACGTCGGCCCAGCGGGAATCTCCCGGTAGTCCCGATGGCCACCGAGATTTAGCCTACATGCCTGGATGTCACATTTTAAATCCTACCTGTTGGCTTTCAGCAATGCATGCAGTTATTTAGCTGCTGTCGCATCAATTGACATGCCATCTCCTTTTCTATCTTTCTTTTTCTATTTTTAGCCCCATAGCATTTTGTTTTATCCATCTTTTTCGACGACAACTCACTACTCGTACCTGCTCGCTCAGCGCTCACGGCGCCCCCGCCCGCTCGCGATATTACCCGCTCCCCTTCTCCATGAGGGCGCCTACTCTAGCCTGGCTGTTAGTCCTCTAAAATTTTATATAACATTGAAGGAATACAGAAATGATTTAGAAACGCACAACAGCAGCTACATATAGAAATACAATACATATAGCCTATATATAGTTTTAATTTTTTATTATTTTTTTTTCCACCATCGCTTTGGCGCCCTCCATTGTGCTGCGCCCCTATGCGCCGCATATAGCGCATACCCACTTTTTGCGCCACTGATGCTCATGCTGAGCTGCTTGCATCTTCAACAAAAGATCTCTGTCGTCATCTTTAAGGGCACTGGTAATCTAGTCAGCAAATACCTCCAGCGTTGCCTCCATCTTTGATTTTCTTTTCTTTTCTTTCTTTTCTTACAGCAGTAGTAGCTGTAAAAAGAAAAAAAGAACAGATCAAAATAAGGATTACAATGTTTATTTTTTATTTTATTATTAGTATAACAGTAAAAGCGCCAAGCATTCCAGTTTATATTAAGTAATAATTATGATTATTCATGGCCATTTATAAACAATACTAAGCTGTTCAGAAGCCAGTTCAACATTCAATTCAAACAAATTAATTTCATATCACATGTTTTAGGTCAAAAGTTGCCAAGATGGATCACTCTTCTGTCAATTTTTTTATTGCGCTTTCATCATATTTTTTATTTATTTTTGTCACGTTTTCATCACTTTTTTGTCATGTTTTTGTCACTTTTTTGTTGCATTTTCTTAACATTTTCTTTTTTTTTTCAAGCTTTTATATTTGGGTAAAGACAAACTAAAAAAATGTGCTCGGTTCAGGTAGGGGTTAAGAGTTTAATTGAGTTGGAAAACGATCAAAAAACAGCAAAGAACTTTCTTACCATCAGTGGGTGTGGAAGATGCATAGCTGTCCACAGATGTAACGTTATCTTCACTTGCTGCAGAACTTTCTTCGGAGATAGAGGCAGAAGCTGAAACAGCAACAAGGGTCCCATCACCTGTGTATGCATTTAACAAACTGTCACACATACCACTCACAGGTAGCTCTGGGCCATGTGCAAATAACCCACGTGTATCACCGCAAGAGCTACTAGCTGGGCTGGCCGCGACAGTTGCGGTGGGACCTGGGCTCTTCTCCCCGGGCTCCTCTTGGGCAAAGCAGCTGTCCAACAGTTCTAGTGGCTGAACGCTGGGCTTATCCCCCAAAATGCGGTCCAGCTCTTCGTAAAATGGACAGGTGATACGTTGACGGCCACTTCGTTTGTTCCAGTCTTTAACCTCCTTGTATTTGGCTCGGAGGCTTTTTATTTTTCGCTGGCATTGGAGCCAGGATCGCCTGTAACTATGCACGGACATTTCGCTGGAAATGTTTTCAAAAATCGCCCGGTTCCGATAAGAGCCCTCGAGTTTGGCCTGAATAGAGCTGTCCCCCCAAATATTAATTAACTCAGACACCTCGCTTTCCTTCCATTGACTGGTTTCAGCATCGTCCGCCATGGTAGTGTTGTTCAACTTCTCATTCCCACCTACTACTTCAACGCAGAATTATGACGTTTGTTGCATATCAATGACGTACAGGTCGGATATATGTGACCTGGCCGATCAGATTGAAGTCGCATTTCAAAAGATCGGATACATATCGGATTTGGACCACATACCCAAGTGGCCTGGTTCGCATTTGAAAAGATCGGATCTGTGTCGTTCAGACTGTCATGAAAAAATCAGATACAGGTCGCATAGGGGCAAAAAAATCGGAATTAGGTCGTTTCAGCCTGCAGTGTGAACGTAGCCTTAGGAATTTCACCAGGATTGGCCTTGGCCCAGCTTTCGGCTTATTTGTTTGTAATATAGTGGGAGAACGATGAGCTCTCTCGATGACTGGAGGAACTAAGAAGTTATCTTCCCCCAAAAGTAGCTGGATCAGACCTCTCATGAAGCCGATGATATCCTGGCCTTCCGATTTTTCCGGAACATGCAGAAAGCGCAGGTTGTATGCCCTGCAGCGATTCTCTGCATCCTCAACTTTGTCACGCAGGTTAGAGTTCTCGCTCATTAATGTTTTGACATACTTTTGTAGTTCAAATAAGTTATCTTCATTTGAGCTTACTCTTTGTTCAAGTTCTGACACATGATCACCAAGTGTGGACAACGAGCCTTGTATTGTTTGTAAGCCTGATTGGATATTATCCATTTTCGCGTCGAAATGGGAAAACAAGTCCATCAAATAATTGTGTAAAAGCACATACACACGATAACAACATACAATAATATGTTTGATTTAAAGGCCATTCAAACATCATGGTTGCCCTGATTACAATGAGCCCAAAGTGTGTCTGACCACTTCTGGTGATACAAAATAGTTCCTTCATAAGGACATATGTGCCAATTTTGACAACATTTGATACCTTTCATTTGCAGTTACAGGATTGTTCCCAGTTGTGTGGTTTAGATGTATTTTTTACATAATGATGAATAAAAAGAGATGAAATGGAGCTCATTTGGAAAATGTCAATTATGAAAGAGTTGTCTATTATTGATTGCTTAAACACAGTCTTTCTGTCCAAACTGAAATTCTGTTGTTGTTTTTGGCTATGAGTGGGTGCTCACATTCAGTCATTTGAT